AAAATATTGCTGATTTACTATGTGGCTATATAGATATACATAATAATGTGCAAATATGGTCAGTTTTTGTTGATGCGTTTAAATAATTTTGTTATACTAGTCAGCCTTAGGTATCAAAATTACTGAAATTTTGTTGCGAGACAATATTTTGAATAAAAAGAGGACATGCTGGCAATCTTAATTGATGGGGATAATTTTTGTTGTCATTGTGTTGCAATGTTGCTGTCATTTGTATAATGCAACCCATTCTGACAATAAAATATAGCTGCTTTACTATGCGGCTATATAGATCTATATAATAAAGTGTATATATTATGGTCAGTTTTGGTTGATGAGTTAAATAATTTTGTTATATGAGTCAGCCTGAGGTATCAAAATTACTGAAATTTTGTAGCGAGACAATCTTTTTAATAAAAGGAGGGCAAAAATATTTCCTAATTTTTTAACCCTATATAAATTAACAGATTGACACACTCCCCATTTCCATTCTCAATTTTATAATTATAAGTGCAAATATGGTCAGTTTTGGTTGATGCTTAAAATAATTTTGTTGTACATGTTGTACATGTACCAGTCATCCTGAAGTATTCATTTTTGGCATTGTTTGTCGATTTTATCTGAAAACCAAGTTTATAAGATTTAGGATACATGTTAAAACCGATAATAATAGCATTGTAACCGATATCGTTTTTAATTTATAGATAGGCAGATCGCGGATAAATTTGCATTACAAGCAAAGTTTTATGCGTACTTTATTTACAAATACATGTATATATATTTAATCTGTATTGTTTATATAACCATCATAGGCATGACCACGGAGATTTAAATTTTATACATTAATTTACAATATTGTGATCAAAATTCGTTTTTTAAATCAAATAAATAATTTTGTAGTCGCACGCTTTCTTTGAAATTTAATTGCATTATGGGTAATTTCGGATCGTGTAGATAGAATGGGGAATGGTGTATGGTGTAATGTGTAAGGTGTATGGTGCAAAGGTGTAACGTGTATGGTGTAATGGCACAAGGTGTATGGTGTAATGGTGTATGGTGAATGGTGTAATGGTGTATGGTGTGAGTGGGAAGTTTACACCATCCAAGGACTGTACCTATTTGAAAACCTTAATAATGTTTAATAAAAGTAGTTCTTATCCGCAAATAACTAAGTTTAACAAATAGTACAACGTTATGAAAAATGGACTTCAGGAAAAATCTTAACAATATTTCTTTGCGTGTCAAAAATACAGATCGGAAAACATTTGATTTTCCACAATGTAGTCAATTCTCAGTATGGAAGTTTTCAATCAGAAAATACTTTTTTCGAACTGAGTCGTCATAAAAATATTTGAACAAAACTGAAAAGTATGCCTTGTTTACAACACTGAGAAAATATATGCCTTTTATTAGTTTTACATCCTCTGGACTTTGATCTGAAACGGTCATTTTGATCAAATCAAATCTTAAAAGACTGAACAATAAATCACTATTACAATTTCAGTCTTTCAGTTAAATTTTGAATTTATCAAATGCGGTAAATTCAGAATTGTTCAGACAATGTGCTTGCGGTAAATTATGATCTGTTCAGTCTAAGCTCTAACTTTTCAGTTATTGCTATTTACCATTACACATCAACATCATACGGATTCGTCTAAAAAACTACTGAACAGTACTGAATTAACTGCTAGTATGAACAGTCTTCAATTCACAGCAGTACTTTAGTCTGAAAATTTACTGATAGTCCCAACATGACTTAATACTTTATTGTTCAGACTTTTCAGGTGATGTTAAGACCAACATAGCCATTTCAGACTAAAACTCGTTACTAGAATTTAAAGAATTTATTCCACCAATGCCGTCGACATATTTGTGTGTTTTAATCTATCCAGACGGTATCACAAACCAATTAGTCAGCCTTTTTGTCTTTGTGCTCATATGACATTTATTTGATGCGATCATTATCATCTGTTAACCCTCAAACATTGTTGTCAGCCTGATTCGTCAAAACATATGTAATTTCAAGTATCCAATGCTCTTAAACTTTGTCATTGAAATGGATTTATTCAACTACTACTTATGAATTGTGTGTGTCAATGTTCATTGTATGCAATCTGAGTTTTGTGTAGAAGAAATGCTCGCCTCAATACTCATTGTATGCAATCTGAGTTTCAGGTTTTGCATTTTTACCCCAAACAGGAGTATGACTGAGGCAAATCTACAGTTAATGTACCCTGTAATGACATCATCAGCAGTTTTTGTGTTCTGTTATGACTCATAATAAGTTTTTGTGCCCTTTTATAAACTTTGTGTCTCAATGTTCATTTTATGCAATCTTAGTTTTGTGTAGACAACAATGATGGACGGGGAACGTCGATTAAATGAGAGCGGAATGTGTTAATGAAATTATGAATACTACTACTAAAAGAAAATCTCACATTGATATAATAACATTCAAGTACTACAAATTTAAACGGCTTGGGTACTCCGTCACTTTAAAGTTATGTCAATGGAGGACAAAACTTGCTAAAGTTTGTTCTACTTTTTTTTATTATAATAAGCATTTATATAATATGTGATAAATATATTATAACACGTGGTTTGCCATATCATATGAGCCCTGGTATAATCCCTCGACCCATATAAGCCATCGACTAGCGTCTCGCGTCTATCACCAGAGTCTCGGGTTTATACCGGAGCCGATTTAGAAAATGACATGTCATAATCGATAATAATTTACTTTTGCATATTCAGGATTTCCATCTGAATCATTATTACAAAAGGAATAGTAGTAACGTTAATCGTTATTCAGAAGACAAATAAACAATGTAACCTTTTTTTTTCTTCAAAATGTTATTTATGTCGTCGGGTTGCAATCTGGCAGATCTATAACAAAAGCCTCTTTTTATGCATGTTAAAAAGAAATTATGTTTCAGAATTGATTCTCCTCCTATTGTTTAATAACGAAAACATTGCAATGAAATAAAAACATGCCAAACTTTTAATGATTTTTTGTCACAAATCACCATACAGATACACATCCAAATTCTCAAAAACAGAAATCTGACTCATCATATCTCACCTTTACACATATCTTCATTCTCATCAGATTTGTCATTGCAATGTGTGTATTTGTTACATACATTTGATTTATAAATGCATTGTATGCCATCATCACATTTCACATTGTCTCTGTCACATTCCCTTGCTGCAAAAAAAATGTTATTCATGTTTAAGCAAAAGTGCTTGTTTTTTGTTTTTGTAAATCGTCAGCATGGAATCATACTAATTAAATCAATGACATTCATTCTCTAGTTTTAACTAGCTTACATTAATAACAAATATCGTTTTAATATATTTTGAAAAACCGAAGAAAATTGTTTAATTTCAAATACATTTGATCTTCATTTTTTGATTTTGAAAGTGTGATAACCAAGAACATTTGTATTTATTTTTTTAATGAAATTTCAATGAAAATTAAACAGGTATATAGATAAACTCAATCAAACATATTAAAAAGAAAATTTACAGAAAGTTGCGTCTTTCGGTGCTGGTGATATCAATGAATATGATATTATTAGACGTGAATCCATCATGATATTGGTGTATAGGACAGCAGATTCTTTTTGTTCCAGTTGGTTTAACGTATTTGTTTTTACCGTAATTATTTAACTAGTGCATTTGCTTCGCTTAATTTGATTGCTTGTCATTTCAGGTACACATTGCTAGTCAACTAGCTGTGATTTACAAGAGGAGCTTCAGCATGATTTCATATTCCTACCCTACTAACATTGGAAAATATGACTCATAGGAATATGTCTGAAACCGATTATAGCAATACATTATACCATTCTAAATTTCCTATTTTCTAGAATTTTTTTAAAAGATCTTTCATATACTGCATATATCCATTTGTTGTACTGTATTAAAAACAAAAAACCTTATAGTAACCTATACAGTCTTTAAATTGTGTGCAATTTCAAAGTGAACGCGTATAACGTCTGGTTGGTCTTTTCTTCTTCCTGTTAAAGAACAGGAGTCATTGCCGTCTATTGTATGTACTGTTATTGATGTAATACAATGGTGTAGGAGATAGGTGTAATGGTGTTTAGTGTATTGTTTATGCGAGAAGTTTACATCATTTAGGAATTTTCATCATGTAAAGAGATATTCAAACTCCTAAGTCGAAAACAAAAAGAACATGCCATAGCAAAAATTGAAAAACGACAAAATATGGATCAATCTTTAAAAAAAGGAGATGGTGCAAATAAGCCAGAAAAAAAATGTTCTCCTGCAGGCTGCGAGTTTCACCGTATAAACAGATTTAAATAACGTTGCATGGTTTTAACCTCACATTTTATTTGCAAAACAATAAGTATGTTGAGACTAAACAGACAATCGCTTCAGAATATACCTCTACAAAAGTCTGGATCTTCATCTGATTTATCTGTACAATCTTCATGGCCGTCACATAAGCTGTATTCACCGATACATTGCAATCCGTCAGAACATTTTTGATTGTAATCACTGCAGCTATAATCTTGATATATGTATGCAATGTAAAATATAATCAATATGATAAAATCAGACATGAAAAGAGTTGCTACATCAAGCATACAATAGTTTTGCGCCGCTAAAAATAAGTATATGTGATTATAATGATATTTATCCATTTTTTGTTTTTGTAATGAAACTGAGTTTGTTCCCACTAATGCCTCTGTATACACATCTGACACATTATTGTATCCAGTTTCAACATCAATTTTACCAAAACTGATAAAAAACACGGATACATTACCTTGCCAAAAGTTATGTTTGAAAATTGCTGGTTTTTTTTAAACATGCAAAACACCGTTTTTTTTTTTATTTTGATTGTTACCAAAGTATTATGGTATATTGAATATTATAATTAATTTGACAGATATTCTCTATATCTCCTTAACGATATAAATCAACATTTGTTTTTTTCGAGAAAAAGAGTAAGCAGTTCCTTATTAAAGTACCTCGACAAAAGCCTGGATCTTCATCTGACTTATCGTTGCAATCTACATTTCCATTACACAAACTATTTTGTTCGTCGACACATTGTTGTCCATCAGCACATTTGCTTTTCCACTCAGGGCAAACATATGCTATACATAAAATTGAAAAACCTATTTAGAATCACATTATTTTAGTTGTTTAAATGGTTTTAAATCATGTAATACATAAATATCATACCAATAGTAACAAAAGATCAAAACGTCTAAATGTGGGACTAACTGTCACTGCTTTGTTTCATAAATGAATAAACACCATGTCCTAATGTAAGCCTACTGTTGAAATATAATCATTATATTGTTTGCTAAACAAAAATCCGCCATTTTCCTCCTTAGTTGAAACAAAATTTTCCTGCTATGGTTAATTATATATTACATTTCTGTGAAGTGTTTTGTACACTCTTTATATTTCTTTTTTTTTTGTCGTTTACCTTTTTTATCATGGTGTTAATTGTTTCTTTTCGACTTCTATTTATTGACTTTGCCCTTGATGTAATTTAGCGTTTGGTAAGTTTTTACTTCCTTGTATGAAGTGATTTTTTCTCTCTGGTTTTATGAGATTTTCACTGCGGAGAAGCCATTTATGTTTTCAACAGTTTAGAAAGAAATTATTTAGAATAATCATTCTCTATCGTTTGTCTGAAAAGAGAAGATAATTGAGAATTAGAATAGATTATTATATATTTTTATCTCAAATTATATCTTTTATTTGAAGCGAGAACAAAAATTCAAATTATTTGGATCGACAGTTAAATTGTGCATTAAAGACGTTTGGTTCTAGTATTTCAATGAAATTTACGGAGGAAATAACCATTTTGATCTCAAACCTTAAAAGAATATATAAGATGGTTAATTGAACAGAAAACCTGAAAGTTGAAGCAAAACAAGACTACTATCAAGTGAATTTAATAATTTTACAAACTCAAGGTTGCATTTTAATCTGGGTGACACATTTGATTGACAGATGGGCGCAGTCCGAACCTGTACATCAATTGACTTTGAGCCGACTTTATGACTGCTGTCCAAGTTAAAAAAAAAAGAAGGCAGACAAGCCAGTTAACTTCATCGGTAGTAAACAAAACCTAGATTTGCTTTTCAAGGGCTGCTACAGACCTACTTACAAGTCTGTTCCAGACCAGACCTGTGAACATAAATGCTTTTGAACGATCCGTATGTGTGTTCAGATCCTGAACTTACATAAGGACAGGTCGGCTTATGAAAAATTGTTGGGCTAGTAATTTTTAACACTTTTAATATCAGACAGAACCTTTTAAACGATAATTGCATTGTTCTATTTTACAAAACATCAAAGTACTATTCTATTTACCCTGTGACTCAAATTTGTTTTCTTTGATATAAATACAATAATGGTTAACAATTTCGCATTTGTTGATCGTCATATATATATATATATATATGTACATGCATTTCATACATGAAAGAATATTATTTTTTTTTTGTTAATCCAAATACGTATAAAAAGGTTATATAATGCGTTCGAAAATCAATTGTATATGATGGGATAGTAACAACATTGTTTTAGTTGCCTTCTTTCCGATTATTTACACTCTCTTCTTAATATTTATTTTCTATGAAATAAATTCATTTTTCAATGTGATTCACTTTGTTTACCTTTGATTCGATTATATTTTCTACGGCAGTTGTATAGTGTCAGGATATATAGGCGTTGTATAATTTTTTTAATCAATTATGAACCTTCTAGCCAATTTCGGCATATTTACCTTTTTATCATACAGCTATAACATTTTTATCATAAAGCACGAATATGGTAACTTTTGATCGATACGAACACAACGGTTTGTTATAAAACATATCTCGAGATATCTGAACTACTTTCTTTTAGTGACAGTTTAGTATTTTAACTAAAAAGAGGAAGTGTTGACACTCGAAATTAAGGCGGACAAAACTTTGTAGTCAATGTGTACCAATATCGCTTGCATTTGTATTATACAAACATCCTTAGTTAACAAATTTACTGATTAATGATACCGCCATATCGTTTATATTACAAACTATAAATATTGTAACCTTTGGTTAATGCAGATAAAATGAGTCTACTAACCATCCTGAGATATCAAAACTACTGATTTTTAATGACGGTTCAGTACTTTGACATAAAAGAGGAAATTGTTGGCACTCTAAACTGATGCAGACACATTTGTGTTTTTAATGTGTACCAACATTGCTGTCTTTGTATTATACAATCTATCATGAGTTAACAAATTTACTAATTTATGATACCGCTATTTGATTTCTTTAACTGCAAATATGATCAGTTTTGGTTGTTGCAATCCAAAATTGTTCTTATACAATCTATCCTGAGATATATGAAATATCCTAATTTTCAGTGTCGGTTCAGTAATTTGAAAAAAAGAGGAAGTGCCTGCATTCTAATTTAAATTGATGCAAATAAAAGTCATAAGTCGGAATTAAATGTTAGGAATTCGAAACCTTAGTTTTGAAAGGAAGGTTAATCTGCAAAAGGCCAATGTGTATCCGAGGAAAGTATAATTCGGCAAGCGCAAAACTCTTTTCAATGGTATTTGATTTGTTTTTTGATCTTGGTATAGTTAAAGTAGAACAATTTTGTACAAAATTACTTTTGAAATATTTGATAAAATTGATCGGATTCATGTTCTTGGAAAGTATTTTATTTTTATCACTTATCATTTTTCTCCCACCCGTATCAACACTCCAAATGAAGGGGACGTTCAATCCTTAATCTACACTCTAAGAAAACCGAAAACATTTAAACCTTTTTATTTCAGTGATAAGTTAAAAAAAAAGGTTTGTTTGAATTTACATATATCTCTTTGAATAAAAAATTATAAACACTGGCTATGCTATGTGAAATAAACAGTTGATTCCTTTTAACGAACCTTTGCACACCTCTCCCTCTTCATCCGAACCGTCTGCACAATGTTTCACTCCATCGCAAAAAGTAGAATTATAGACACATTGAAGACCATTTGCGCACTTGACCTTGCTGTATTCACAAGGAAAGGCTGAATAGAATAATTAAAAATGTGTATGGTCTTCATTAATTCTTAAATTATAAACAAGCTAAGACTCTAACACCGGCAAGCAAAGTTGACCTCAGGCATCTTTGACTTTTAATTCGGTATTTGTTCATATGGCTTAAACATGTTTTGCTGTTGTGTTTCCGATGAAGGTTAAACAATAAAAGCGCTTTGAACGCAAAAATTTGAAATCGTTTGCTTGCATTTAAAACCTCTAATGTGCTGGTTTGTTTTTGTTTGTTGTTTAGGTTTGTTTTTGTTTTGATAAAAAATTAGAAGATTGCTAATGAGACAAAACTCCAGCAGAGATCAAATGACCCAGACATTAACAGCTATAAGTCAGGGTACGACCTGCAACGATGAGCAAAATCAATACCACATAGTGAGCTATAAAAGGCACCGAAAATATAAAACGAATAAACAAGAACAGTTGTTTTGTTTGTTTGTATTATCAGGCAGATGAGTTATATATACATTTTTTAAAGGTTTGCATATTTAACGCGTTTAACAGCTAGACTGATTAAACAGGCAATCGTTAACCATATATGTCCTTAGTTAATAAATCAAACATCTTTTGAAATTTAATTGTTTCAAATCTATCTGAGGCAAATACCCTAAATGACCTTTTATAAATGCATATACCTTTACAAAAATCTTCATCCTCGTCAGATCCGTCATTGCAATTGGTATATTGATTGCATAGGCCTGATTTATAAATACACTCTATGTTATCCCTACATTTAACTTGATCATCTGAACACTTATAATCTACAATTCAAAGAAATGAAACATAGATAAAATCTACTTTTTATTTTGAGACGCGATCGTTAAAGGCACGGTTAACATCTATAATGAAAATCTTTTCCTTTCCTCTCGTGGTTTGCTCTTATTGCAAAATGTAAATTGTGTTTGTCTTCCAGTATAAGTTTATATCTATCCCTTTGTTTCCATAATTACTACAAGTGTTTTATATTAGTTACTTAAAAATAGCCTGGATACGATAACATAAGTAGTGCTATTTGAAAAATAAGCTGACATTGATAATGTTTCGTTTTCGAAACAAGTGTCCTGATGATTGCTTGAAGCAAGGTAAAAAACTAAAGACTGCGCACGATAAAAAATGGTCCATATTTTCTTCTTAAAAGTGCTCCATTAAAATATTTTACATCTTATTTCAAACTTTTATTTGATATCAATTTTTACATAATAGTTCTTACTTTGACAATGTCTAACATAGTCTCAGGAAATGAACAATTTTCGTTTCTTAATCGAACAAAAATTAAACATTTGTTAGTATGTGTCAATTTGAACCAAATGAAGATATCGAACAAAATTCAGCGAAAATTTACTCGACTGCATTTATAAACAAGTTATCATTATGTCTTAACTTTGCCCCATCATTTTACGATGGAACTATTTTATGGATTTTTAAACGAGACGCCATGGAATTTGCAAGTGGTCGTTTTTTAATATAAAAAAGAATACAGGCAATTAGTCAGATCCATCATGAGATTGTGAATAACCAGACTATAGGTCATCCTCATATATACCCTGAATACCATCCGGGCATTAGATCCTGCATCCATCAATGATAATCAGAAAAATTATTGCCGCTTCTTTAATTTTCAACAGATAACCAAAAGAATAAAAAACACTATTAATAATAGAAAACGATTTGTTTTATATCGGTGTTTTTAATCGACAATTGTATAGCTCTGATTGAGTAATCTTTAAAATAAACCTGTATCTAACGCTTTACAAAGACACGGCGTTCATTTTCTCTGAACTAGTACACATTTTTTTAGGGGCCAGCTGAAGCCCGCCCCCGGGGTGTGGGATTTTCTCGCTGTCTACAACACCCATAGGCGGCCTTCGGCTGTTTTCTGCTCTTTGGTCGGGTTGTGGTCTCTTTGACATATTCCCTATTTCCATTCTCAATTTTACGTAGCAGTAATAAGTGGTTGGGTAGATAATACGACAAAGCAAACGCCAAACCCAAAATAAAATGAACAGACCACGGCAGTAAGGAATTGAAACATTGATTCCTTAAATAAGTAGTCTATTTTCCTATTACTACTATTGACTCCGGAGTATATAGTTTTCCAGCATATAAACGTCTCTGTTGTAGGACATTCTGGTACTCAGTCAATAGATTAAAGTCTCTGTGCTAGGACATTCTGTTACTCAGTCAAAACGTTCACGTCTCTGTGGTAGGATATTCTGGTACTCAGTCAAAACGTTCACGTCTCTGTGGTAGGACATTCTGGTACTCAGTCAAAACGTTCACGTCTCTGTGGTAGGACATTCTGTGATTCAGTCAATAGATTAAAGTCTCTGTGGTAGGACAATCTGGTTCTCTATCAATACGTTTACGTCTCTGCGGTAAGACATCCTCGGATACAGTCAATAGATTAAAGTTTCTGTGGTAGGACATCCTGGTACTCTGTCAATTCGTTAACGTCTCTGTGGTGGGACACTCTAGTACTCTGTGAATGCGTTAACGTCTCTGTGCTGGGACAATTTGGTACTAACTGAATAGATTAAAATCTCTGTGGTAGGACATTCTGGTACTCTGTCAATACATTCACGTCTCTGTGGCACGCCATTCTGGTACTCACTGAATAGTTTAAAGTCAATGTGGTAGGACATTCTGGTACTTAGTCAACACGTCCACGTCTCTGTGGGTGAACATTCTAGGACTCAATCAATAGAGTAACGTCTTTTCGGTAGAACATTCTAGTTATCAGCCAATACGTTAACGTCTCTGTGGTAGGACATTCTGCTACTCTGTTAATACGTGAACGCCTCTGTGGTAGGACATTCTGGTACTATGTTAATACGTTCACGTCTCTGTGGTAGCACATTCTGGGACTCAGTCAATAGATTAAAGTTTCTCCGGTAGGACATTCTGGTACTCAGTCAATACGTTCACGTCTCTGTGGTAGGACATTATGGGACTCAGTCTATAGATTAAAGTCTCTGTGGTAGGACATTTTGGTACTCAGTCAAAACTTTCACGTATCTGTGGTAGGACATTGTGGGACTCAGTCAATAGATTAAAGTCTCTGTGGTAGGACATTCTGGTATTCAGTCAACAGAGAGTAATGTCTCTGTAGTAGGACATTATGGTACTCTGTCAATACGTTAACGTCTCTGTGGTAGGACATTTTAGTGCTCAGTCATTAGGTTAACGTCTCTGTGGTAGGACAATCTAGTTCTCTATCAATACGTTAAAGTCTCTGCGTTAGGACATCGTGGGATAAAGTCAATAGATTAAAGTCTCTGTGGTAGGACATTCTGTTACTCTGTCAATTCGTTAACGTCTTTGTGGTAGGACATTCTAGTACTCAGTCACTAGATAAAATATTTCCTGTAGGACATTCTGGTACTCAGTTGATGCGTTAACGTCTCTGTGGTAGGACATTCTGGTACTCTGTGAATGCGTTAACGTCTCTGTGGTAGGACAATTTGGTACTAACTAAATAGGTTAAAGTCCCTGTTTTAGGACATTCTGGTACTCAGTCAATAGAGTAACGCCTCTATGGTGAGACATTATGGTACTCTGTAAATACGTTAACGTCTCAGTGGAAGGACTTTCTGGGACTCAGTCAATAGATTAAAGTCTCTGTGGTAGGACAATCTAGTTTTCAGTCAATAGATTAAAGTCTCTGTGGTAGGACATTCTGGTATATAGTCAATACGATAACTTCTCTGTGCTAGGACATCCTTAGGCGCAGTCAATACGTTAATGTCTCTGTGGTATGATATTATGGTATTCAATCACTTGATTAACGTGTCTGTGTTAGGACATTCTTGGATATAGTCAATACGTTAACGTCTATGTGAAAGGACATTCTGGGAGTCAGTCAATACGTTAACGTCTTTGTGGTAAGACATTCTAGTACTATGTCAATACGTTAACGTCTCTGTGGTAGGACATGCTGGTACTTACTAAATGCGTTAACATCTCTGTGGTAGGACATTCTGGTGCTCTTTTAATACGTTAACGTCTCTGTGGTAGGACATTATAATACTCTGTCAATAGGTTAACGTGTAGGTGGTAGGACATTCTGGGACTCAGACAATAGTTTAAGTCTCTGTGGTAGAACATTATGGGACTCAGTCAATAGATTAAAGTCTCTGTGGTAGGACACTCTGTTACTCAGTCAACAGAGTAACGTCTCTTTATTAGGGCATTCTGGTATTCAGTCAATCAGTTGACGTTTATGTGGTAGGACATTCTGTTACACTGTTTATACGTTAACTCCTCTATGGTGGGACATTCTAGTACTCTGTCAATTCGTTAACGTCTCTGTGGTAGGACATTCTAGTACTCAGTCAATAGATTAAAGTCTCTGTGGCTAGACATTCTGGTACTCAGTTAATACCTTAATATCTCTGTAGAGGGACAATTTGGTACTCACTGAATAGGTTAAAGTCCCTGTTGTAGGACATTCTGGTTCTCAGTCAATTGGTTTAAAGTCTCTGTGGTAGGACATTCTGGTATTCTGTTAATACGTTAACGTCTCTGTGAAAGGACATGTTGGTACTTAGACAATAAATAAAAGTCTCTGTGGTAGAAACTTATGGGACTCAGTCAACAGATTAAGTCTCTGTGGTAGGACACTCTGTTTCTCAGTCAACAGAGTAACGTCTCTGTGTTAGGACATTATGGTACTCAGTCAAAACTGTGGTAGGACATTCTAGTACTTTGTTAATACGTTAACTCCTCTGTGGTAGAACAATCTGGGACTCAGTCAATAGATTAAGTCTATGTGGTAGGACACTCTGTTGCTCAGTCAACAGAGTAATGTCTCTGTGTTAGGACATTCTTGTACTCAGTCAATACGTTGACATTTCTGTGGCAGGACATTCTGGTACTCTGTTAATACGTTTACTTCTCTGTGGTAAGACATTCTGGGACTCTGTCAATAATTTAAAATCTTTGTGGTAGGAAATTCTGGTACTCATTCAAAAAATTAAAGTTTCTGTGGTGGGACATTCTGGTACTCTGTCAATTCGTTAACTTCTCTAGGGTATAGGACATTCTAGTACTCAGTCAATAGATTAAAGTATCTGTGGTAAGACATTCTGATACTCAGTTAATACGTTAATGTCTCTGTGGTAGGACATTCTGGTACTCTGTGAATTTGTTAATGTCTCTGTAGAGGGACAATTTGGTACTCACTGGATAGGTTAAAGTCCCTGTTTTTGGGCATTCTGGTACTCAGTCAATAGGTTGACGTCTCTGTGGTAGGACATTCTGGTACTCATTCAATAGGTTAACGTTTCAGTGGTAGTACACTGTGATACTCAGTCAATACGTTAACATCCCTGTGGTAGGACATTCTGGTACTCAGTCAATAGAGTAACGCCTCTGTGGTGGGACATTCTGGTACTCTTTAAATACGTTAACGTCTCTGTGGTACGACATTTTGGGTCTCAGTCCATACGATAACGTCTCTGTGGTACATGTAGGACATTCTGGTATTCTGCTAATACGTTAAAGTCACTGTGGTAGGACATTCTGGTACTCAGACAATAGATTAAAGTCTCTGTGGTAGGACACTCTGTTACTCAGTCAACAGAGTAACGTCTCTGTGTTGGGACATTCTGGTACTCAGTCAAATCGTTAACGTTTCTGTGGTAGGACATTCTAGTACTTTGTTAATACGTTAACTCCTTTGTGGTAGGACATTCTTGGACTCTGTCAATAGAGTAACGTCTCTGTGGTAGGACATTATGGTACTCAGTCAATAGGTTATAGTCTTTATTTTATGACATTCTGGTACTCAGTCAAAAAATTAAAGTATCTGTGGTTAAACATTCTGGTAGTCAGTTAATACGTTAAAGTCTCTGTGGTAGGATATTATGGTACTCACTGAATACGTTGATGTCCAAGTTGTAGGACAATTTGGTACTCACTGAATAGGTTAAAGTCCCTGTTGTATGACATTCTTGTACTCAGTCAATAGGTTAACGTCTCTGTGGTAGGACATTCTGGTACTCAGTCAATAGGTTCACGTCTCAGTGGTAGGAAACTGTGATACTCAGTCAATACGTGAACATCCTTGTGGAAGGACATGCTGGTACTCGATCAATAGAGTTAGGCATCTGTGATGGGACATTCTGTTACCCTGTAAATATGTTACCGTCTCTGTGGTAGGACGTTTTGGGATTCAGTCAATACGTTAACGTCTCTGTGGTAGGACATTCTGGTATTCTGCTAATACGTCAACGTTTCTGTGGTAGGATATTCTGGTACTCTGTTAATACGTTAACCTCTCTGTGGTAGGACATTCTTGGACTCAGTCAATAGGTTAACGTCTCTGTGGTAGGACAATATGGTACTCAGTCAAACCAAAATATATCGGAAATGAACAATTTTTGTTTCTCAATCGAATCAAAAATAATTGTTAATATGTGTTAATATAACCTATTAATTATGAAAGAATACTTGCCTAAACTAATTATTTTTGGATATAACAACATCTCTCGAAATATACATGGCTTATGTAAGCATTAGGAAAAAGTAGTTGAAATATACATGTCCTTTATGTTACTTCTATTACCCCGATGACTACTTATATAGATTTCAATGATGATATTTGTTATTGTACGATTGATATTTCATTGTTTTGAATTTCGTTGATAAACATAAATATAAGGGGACGTGGTATGAGACAACTATCCACCAACGTTCAAATGAAGTGGATCTTAGCAATTACAGTTAAGCGTACGGCCTTCAACAATGAGAAAAAAACATACCGTACGTATAGTCGGCTATGACATGTTTAAAAGTCCCCGACATGAATGATATGAAACCAGTCAATTGCTAAAACTAACGGCCTAATTTATAACAAAACACATATGACAGACATTAACTAACGACAATCACTGAAAACCAGGATGCTGACTTAGGACTGGCACATAAAAAATGTGGCTGGGTTAAACATGTTTGTGAGCGCTCAGCCCTCCCCTAACCTTGGACAGTGGTGTTTATATAAGTTAGTGTGTTATTTTAATAATAATGAATAATAAATAATAGTGGGTCTAGGTCAATGTGGTGCTAAATTTGAATTTTGAAATATACATTGCACTCTATAATTAAGTTGTACTCTTACCATTACACACTTCAGCTGATTCATCAGATCTATCTTTACAGTCCGGCCAACCATTACATTGACTTTTCTCATATATGCACTGCATACCATCCTGGCATTTGACCTTATCTTCACCACATTCGAAATCTTAATAATAATCAGAAAATTATTTCCTCGTCTACACTTTTCAACTGATAATCAAATGAATATAAACACTTTTGTCTACTGCGTCCTAAAGGAAATTATCTTAATTATATAGGTGCTATAAGTCGACAGTTGTGTAGCCTTAATTTAAATACATATCAAAATTAAATACATCGAAGAAAAATTATCCTAATGCATGAAACTCTTTACATTGTAACGTACCAGAAATGAGTGGCTGTTTACAAAATTAAAAAATGTAATAAAAGGAATGTAGTATATCAGTGAATCTTACATCAACCATACACGCACACAACTAACACAAAAAACAAGTGAACACCCGACGACCGTGAGAAATTAAAACAATATGTTTGTTATGAACAAACTATATTAAATGCTATGTTCTTGTAAGGAAAAAGATAGGCACAAAAAACCAAATAGGACATTAAAATAAAGTAAAAAAATAACTGACAATGCAATGGCAAAAAATAAAATCAACATCATACAAAACACAGCATAACAAAACTACAGACTGATCAGTACGTACTCTACAAAAGTTAGAGGGGACCTCGGGTGCTCTGGAAGGGAACTCATATTCAGCTTCAGATATGACACGGGTCGTGTTGCTCATGTAAAAACAAACCCGGCGATGAGTCTTAACTGTAAGGTCACATTGAAATGAAATGTATTCACTTAAACATAGTAACTTAATGATGATTGTGAAGTATTTGATATTTGATATTCGATATTCAATATCCAACCGGCTGAAGTCACAATCCTTATATCACAATAATTATGAAGAGCTGATCTCACAAAGACAGATGTATAGAAGAAAGATAACAAAGATTGCAAAATCCAAGAAGCAGTTTGATAGAATATTTATCCGGTGAAATACACATGACAAGCTAAAAATATGTAAAAATAAATAGAGTATGTAAAAATAATATGAAAGTATGCAAATGAGGATATACAGACCTACACATGTATCTTTACTTTCGTCGGATTCATCATTACAACTAGCATATCCATTACAGAGTTTATACGTTCTTATACACTCTAAACCATCCGCACATTTTACATGATCCGGTGGGCACTGAAAATCTAAAAAAATAAATATTTGATTTGTATCTTTTGTGACTAATACAAAATAGTGAATCTAAGACTATTGCCTTTATATGACAAGGAAACACATTCGCTGACTCTTATACGTGTGTTACATGTTACAAGTTAATTTTAACAAAATTAAGCAATGATATTTCATTTTTTTTTCAATGTGTTTGAAATACAAAGAAGTTGTTTTAATCATGCAATATGACCATTTCTGGTTAAGTATAGATAACCAAAACAAAAAGAATATGAATTGACCATATGTAAAGTATATGAACAATTACCCATTACTATTTTCAAAAGTGAAATCTGAAATAGGAAGAACACTCAAAGATTTCTTATAAAACTAAGTAATCTCCTCAAATATCTCTTAACTCAAATCTCAAAATGGACTCCTATCAATTTAGCCATTTGAAACATGAATATATGTACTGGCGTTATTATGTATGTACGCCATGTACAGAAATTAATAATCTATATAAGCTAAAATTAAAACTCATTAATATTACAAATTTGTCATTAGCATACTTCTTGTGATCATAATGCATAAATGTGTCAGATATCAATAAAGCAGTATTCAAATTTAAATTCAAGTCTTTTAAATAAGGGTAAAACACAAGTATTATACAGAGCTGACCTCAGAAAGACAGGTGCATAGAAGTAAGATAACAAACATTGCAAAATCCAAGGAGCAATTATAGGAAGCATAATAATCCCGTAACATACACAGAACAACCTAAAAATAATGGATAGGTAAAAAATATAAAAGTATGCTACATGTAGCCATGATACTCGAATTAGGATATACAGACCTGTACACGTCTCTTTACTTTCATCGGACTCATCCTTACAACTTGGATATCCATTACAGAGGTAATTCGTTCTAATACACTGTAAACCATCAGTACATTTTACATGATCCGGTGGGCACTGAACATCTAAAGAAAAATATTTGATTTGTATTATAAGAATAAGAAGATGTGGTTTATTGCCAACGAGACAACTCTCCACCAAAGACTAAATGACATATGAGTTAACAACTAAATGTCATCGTACGGTCTTCAACAATGAGCAAAACCCATACTGTATAGTGGGCTATAAAGGCCCCAATATGACAAATCTAAATAAATTCAAGTAAGAAACCTAACGGCCTAATTTATGTACACACTATGAACGAAAATAAACGATAAACAGCAACAAACGACAACCAATAATTACACCATTCTGCTTGGAATTTCATTTGGAACAAAGTTCTTTAAAGACATATATTTCAAATACTGCACAAAAAATATTAAACAAACCGTTACTATGTTCAGATAAAACATAACACCACAGTATTATGTCATTTGGTTAATTATGTTACGCAGCTATAACTCCTTACTTACTTTTGCACATTTCAGGATCGTCATCTGAACCATCTTTACAGTAGGCGTAGTAATCACAAAGAGTATATTCAGGAAAACAATGTATCCCGTTTTTACATTTCATTTTTCCTTTTTCGCATTCCAAATCTAAATTAAAACAAGCAGCACATGATAAGATAAATGGGTAAACAACGTATGAATATTTCATTACAGAATTGTTAGGTGCAGAATATTGATTGAGCTCCTATGTTGACCGGGCATATTCATATGGCATCAAGACAAGTCTGATATGGATTTTGTTGAGCATGATTTAACGTTCATGTTATCTTTCTAGAATAACAGAATGCTTCTTCTAGTAGTAGCTTGATTAAACAGTAGAGGGCTGCCGTTCTTTATTTATTGTATGTAAAATTGTTAAAATTTCTTATATCGATGGATTCTTAAAATAATTTAAGGTCATTCAGTACAAAATATCGAAAGAAAAGAGGGAACAAAAGAATGCCCTGTTTTGATACAAAACATGAATAATACATACACAATGAACAATCATTTTTTTAAATATGTAACATATCCCTGTTACAGCTAAACAATTAACATTGGTACCTCTACATACATCCTCGTTTTCATCTTCGCCATTTGAACAAGTATTATATCCATTACAGAATTCATATCTATAAGCACAACCAGAACCGTCTGAACATTCTCTACATTCTCCTGGAGGAATAACGTCCGTCAACCCACCTGTTTATATATTACAATTATCAATTACTACATATCTTAATTTATTATGTGATATTTCCATGTGTGTGGCAAACATCAAGCAACGGATGGTTTAAGGTATATATACTTATTTACTTGACTGTTATATATGACCACGAATATATTCTATTTGTTTTTGAACTAAAATCCAGTCCATATCATCGATTGTGAAATAACCAAATTCTGCTTTTCATCGATGTGTTACTTGCAAGAAGTAACAGTACGTTTGGTACTATTTGCGCTATGCTTTATATGTGTCTTAAATATCTAAGCAGTCTTTTTTGAGGAGACCTAATTACCTAACGTGCACTAACAGATTCCTCTGGAAATCTGACGAGAAATATATAAATATTCTAATTCCCTTAAATCTAATGTTTTATACGAAAATGTACAGAATCAACTACTTTTTACAAATTCAAACTTCTTTTTTATATTTGTGTTTGTTTACATTAGTAATTTTGTAAACTGTAAATTCATTTATTAGATTTAGTTAATTTTCTTCAAATTTAATAAATGATATCGATTTCACAATCTTATATTATGTCTATAATGATCAAATTGTTTTACCGGCTTATTATGTGAGAAGCCAAATTTGTTAGGCCCATTTTGTTTTAAGACTAGTTTGTCATTGTCCAGGAATGTTATTGGCCGAGCCATAAAAGATAGAGGATATAGCAGTATTAAACTCGAAATCTACGGAAATGACCGAATGATCACCCGGTCATCATCTTTTTTTTTTAATATTGATTTAAAATGTTTGCCAAATAAGTTGTACCGATAAAAAACTAATGAAGGTCACTATTTCGAAAGCCGTTACTTAAAGCCTCAATGCTTTTCTTAATACTACTAAATGGTCGTTAAAAAATATGTTTTCTTTTCCAGAGTGCATTAGCATTTTATTTCAAGTTACCAGTCCGGTTGTTTGTGGATCAGCTGTTATGGACCAAGGCAACGTATCGAGCCAATACAGCTAACCTCGATTCTATACTACTGTACTTGAACATAATGCATAATTAATAAGAAAACACCCATTTAAAGGGGCATTAGCTGTCAAATTCATGTCACCGATTTGATTCAAGTTCTCATATTTGATTTATAACATTATAAAAAGTATATCCAAATTATGAAAAGCCTAACATAAACAATTTCAAATGCTTGGGATCGATAATATATATCAGCATTTCGTGTGTATTTTAGTCTAGACGCCATCTTATTAACCACCGAGGTGACCTCCGAAGTCTGTCGACGGTAAAATAACCCGAAATAAACATAAATATAGATATAAATAGATATCAATTGTTTTTTTGTTAGGTCTGTTTGATTTCATATTATAGGTTAAAAATATATGTTAATCATCGTGTTACCTGTATACGAATGAGTTTTTGTGAATCGAATCAGTAAATCAAATGGTTTACCATACGTTTGCCATAGTTTCACTTTCAATGTTGACATTATTTTCCATTAATAACCGAACACGCCTAATTCATGCGTAACCAATCTCTAGCTGAGGAGTTAAATCGAAGGTTTCATGAATACGGATTAAATTAAGTCAAAATATTCCTTTGGCAGTGAATAATTTATCAGCTTATTTTGACAAAATTGAAACAAACTGGCTGCTAAAAGCGAATTATTATTTCACTATTTCACGTTCATTAATAATTGAACAAAAAAAAATCATTTTTTAAATGTTTAGTAAATTTCGTAGCTAATGCCCCTGTAATAACACCATAATATATATTTATACAATTTGTACAAATCTGTTTTATCCAAATGATTATAAATTTTTATATGAGATGATTAACGACACAGCAGATTTTTACCTTGCATTTAAAACAAAAACGTCGAATACACGTTTCGTGCTTCGTGAATAATGATAAAGCAAATCCCAGTGTTTGAAATTAATACATATATTACGATAGTGTTGCCAGGTCATTAAAGATTGCATATTTTGGTATTAATATTGATTCACTTATAGGGTCTTTGCATCGGAACTAAACACATTTATTCTAAAACCAGTTGTTGGCATGATACGGGGTATGATACTTAACCCCTAACGGGAGGGATTGTGCTCGATTTTCATATGATGAAGACATAATCTTTCAATCAGTTTGATTGAGATCTGGAGCTGGCATGTCAGTAACTTCTAGTAGTCCTTTGTTAATTAATGTATCATCACCAATATGCTTAGTTTCTTTTGTTACCTATTCTGACATCGGACTCGGACTTCTTTTACACTGAGTATTACTTTGCACATTGCTGTGTGTTTGTTTTTTTTCTACATTGGCTAGAGGTATAAGGAGAGGGTTGAGATCTCACAAAACATGATTAACCCCGCCGCATGTTTGCGCCTGTCACAAGTCAGGAGCCTTTGTTTGTCTAGTATGATTTTTAATTTTAGTTCATTTATATGTTTTGGAGTTTCGTATGACGACCATTATCACTAAACTAGTACGCTTTTTTGTTTAGGGGCCAGCTGAAGCACGCCTCCGGGTGCGGGATTTTCTCGCTGTGTTGAAGACCCATTGGTGGCCTTCGGCTGTTTTCTGCTCTTTGGTCAGGTTGTTCTCTCTTTGAAACATTCCTCATTTCCATTCTCAATTTTATTGTAAATTAAGCAGCTATCAATATAGAAGTTTATTAACCAATGAACTAAACATACATTATAAATTGTCCATTTTATACGATTCATTGTATCCCCGAGATGGTCATTAGTACAAGTCTTTTACAAAAAAGCCAGTTGAAACAGATTTTTACTGGCCTTAATACAAGATTTTGTTTTGGTACAAAAAGGTGTAGGAAAATGAATACATGTATTGCGCAAAATATTAGATTTCAACATGTTTGATGTTAGAGTTGGTTTTATTTTTCATATGTTATATTATTTCTTTGAGGTGTGAATATCCAGAATTGTCAACAATAAAAGATTATTTCTCTGACGGTGCAGACTGAACTGAAAGTAATTTGTAGGGTTGGCAATCTTGGATATGCACTGCTCTTGTACATGTCTAACTGTAGCATCAAATAATTTGTCAAAACAATTAAGCCAGAGAATTATTTGGACTTAAAATGCCACATCTGATCTCCTGTGTACAACAAATTAAGACTCTTTCTGTAAAGTATTGGTGTCGCGGAAACGGCCGTTTGTGAATGCTTGCCTCGGCAGCAGATGGATTTCAGATATCTTTTTCTTTGTCAATCCAGTCCACAGACCAGTTCTTACCTGGAAGTTGTGTCAGTTTTGTTTACATACGTCAGTAACGTCATTTTGATGGGAGATGACTCGTGTAAAAATCGAGAGGCTCAAAGGTTTTTTTTTATCGGTGAATAAAGTGGTAATTCATCGCACATCATTACTTCTAAGTATTATTCGACATTTATTGTATTAGAATGATAATTAACGCAAATAGTTCATATTGATCCTGTATGAGTCTTCCGACTGTCGTGTTTATCATCAGTCAGCTTACCTCGACCCAATACGACTGTACTTGAACATAATACAGTTATATTATAAAAACAAACATTTAAGTGCAAGCTCAAGTATACTTTACCTGTTATTGCAGTCAAAAACAACAATACAAAGAAAGGATAATTTTCCATTGCCCTGTGAAAAATAAGTTTATAAATGTTACATCGTTTTCCGTTCTCGGTTAAATGTTAAAATCTATATTTTTCCAAAATGAACATATGGATGAAATTTACGCATTGTTTGATATTAAAACTGTTTCACATACAAAGCTTGAAGCCCAAATCCCGATAGCGTACGTAAAAATATGCATACAAGTTGATGTGGACTTTTATAGTTTATGGATGTTGGC